ACAGGGTAGAAAAGAATATGATTCCAGGGGATAGCACCATGATTTCAAGTAATATCAAGAACAAATTTTATACCAAAGCAAAGCGCATCAAACATGGAATTTATCGGTAATAAATAGAAAGGGTCATGATAACTTTTTAGTGTTAAAATCATGAAACTTCTAGAATTTAATACCATCCTAGCATATAGAAAAATTTCGTTCGTGAAAAGTTTAAACTACAACTGATTTACAATGCAATGCATATCAGAAGTAATCGATACCGAGCCTCAAAATATTGAAGTAATAATAATAAATGAAGTCAATAAAAGACTATGAGAGACGAAAAATAAATTTTATCATGAAGAAACTCTAAAAACACACTTCAGATCTTTTGAAAAATAAAAAAACAAACATTGAGTGATTTGAAACTCTTTTTTCCTAGGATCTCTTTGGTGTTCGTGTTGTAACGAACATTAAGGCCTGTTATACTAATTATTGATTACATTCATGAAATCGTAGGAAAATAAGTATTAATTCCTAGTATTTATTATCTTAAATCAGATCTAGTTTGAACTCTCTTATAAAAGGAATTTTTCTGTGCCGAGATGGTGTCAAATTCTAGAAATTTCATGAGTTTAACACTAAAAAGCTACCATGAGTCTTACTGTTTATTTCCAATAAACCCAATTTTTGATGCGCTTTACTTCGGTATAAAATTTGTTGTTGGTACTACTTAAAGTCATAGTGCTACCCTTTTGGAATAATATTATTTCCATAGTAATTTGTTGTAGTGATCGTTTTATTCAACTTATAGACGTGATTGTCAATGACAAACATTGACTTTTCTTTTTTGTGATAGAATAAAAGATATCCTGTTTGAAGAGGAAGTCATATTATCAACTAATATACCTAAAATGAAATTAACTATTTTACTATTACCCTAGTCATAGATTAAACAATATACAATAAAATAGAACATAATCATTCTTTGAATACATAAGTTCATATAATTCATTTCATTTCTTAATAATAAGCTTTTAATTATAAACAAATACAAGAAACGTTAATGTAGAGGCATCCGTAGGAAGAAAGCTATTAATAATAGGATGTAATTCATTCTATTGTATATGTATATAGATGTTGTACTCAGAAAGGTGGACATTAGCATAAGCATGCATCAAGAAAATAACGAATGCTTAAAAATTTGGAGCCCGTCCATCCATTCTTTGATTTTTTACATTACTAGACTAGTTATAAAATTAGAATTGAATGTAAAGAATAGCTAGGAAAAACAAAAAACGACGTAATTGAGTCTTGAATGAAGTAGCTCTTACACATATAATAGTCCTATGACATGCCATGTCAGACAGTGACTGTTACAATGCTTGCCTTTCATTGAAAACTGCAGTGATGAAAGACACAACTCTCACTCTTAATAAACTAACTTAGCAGTGAATGCAAGAAATTCTAATATACTACGAGTGTCAATTTATATTCACTTTCAACTTATATGTTAAATCGTCAGTAAGTTATAGTTAAAAATAATGAAAAATTGTAGGCTGTTTAATTTATAATTTATCAAAATATAAGTTACATGAAATTATTCTATTTCTTTTTGATATTTTATCTTAGTCAGACGAACAAAAGAAAGAAAAAACACGTAAAATACACCGAAGTTTTAACGAAAATGAAATAATAAACAGAGTACATATAAATGCGTTCATAACGCATTAAGTTTTTGGCTGGATATATATTCATTCGGAAACTTCAACATGTTGCGAACACGTCAAAATGTATATTTTTCTGATTTTATTTTCGATAAAATTCGACACATTGTTATGCTTTTTCTTTTCTTGTCCACATGAATGGGATGGAATATCAAAAAGAAATAGAATAATTGTATTTTGTGTATAATTTGATAAATTGCAAATTAAGAACAAATTATCTAAATTTATTTAAACTTAACAAGAAAATGATGTCGTTACAATAGATTATTTTTACTAATGTAGAAACAGCTTAAAAAGCTGTTTGAATCTTGATTAACTCGATCAAAACTGAAGATATTACACATCAACCCAAAGATGGTTATTCACGGATTAGGAAAAGCATCATGATTTTTCAAATGCAAGACATAGAGAAACTTATTCACAAAAGACAGTCTATTCGTCCTTGTATATGAACATCAGGCAATGAGTGCAGCAATCCGATGAGTATCATCAATTGATATGCTTGTCTTTCTAGAAAAGAATCTCCACGCAACAATCTTTAATGATTTTCATGCAGCTGCTGCGGCAGAAAAAAATAGTCAAAGATAGACTGTATCAAAAATTTTTCCGAAGACATCTGTAGACTAAGGTTCAGCTAGAATATCCAGCAAGCTAAAAAGAGTCGTCATTCCAATTCTTTTTGGGAATAAACTTCAGAATATCTTTTACATTACAAGACATACGGACACAAAAGGCAACATATTACTGAGTAATTTCAATTTAGGTTTTCTTATTCGTATCATTTACAGTTTGATCAAATCAAAATTTGGATTGACAAGCTGCTTCTCGATAATGTGAGGCAAAGTTGATGAAACCCGTCATTGTTCCTGCCCGAGCTCGAGAAAATAGGATTGGATATTATTTTGTGTATATGTTTGATACACTCGTCATTTTTATCAAATCCAAGAAAATTGGAACACAAAAGCCAGCGTTTTGCATTAGTTATACTTTTCTTCTAGGAGCTCAAAAACGTTGAGTTAGAAACAGCTACAATTGTGAACATCTGAAAAAGACAATTCTTGATATACGTCGTAAGGATAACCATAGAGTGTTTAAAAGATTATCGATTAGTTAAGTTTCTTACGAGCTATAAAATCTTGTTTATTATATTATGAGAAGCAAACAGTTTTTCAGCTTGGAAAGTTGGTTTTTAGTGACCGATTCAGGTTCGAGCAGTATTTTACTACGCAACTTCCTGAAGACAACCTTCTGATTTGCGACGTATAAAATTAAACGGTTGATCTTATGAAAGAAAATTTTATCTTCAAAGGTTGTAAACTGAACGATTTGTGTTGAAAATGCTCAGACCGTCATTCTGTGTGTCTCACGAGTTAATTTGATTTGACAAGCAAGTAGAAAGCTGCTGAGCATTCATAAAGCCGTATAAATAAAGCAATTTTCTATTTGGTCAGCTATAAACTTGTGTCAGTTTGATTTGACTAAAGCTGCAGAGTGTTCGGTCAATTTCAGTATAGAAAATTTTCCATTATGTAAGTCTCTAATCTAGCTATGCGATTCACACTGACATGAATTCAAATGTGAAGAATTTTTCTGCCACCTGATGTGCATTGATTGTATTGAGTATGGTTATGATAGTTCCCATTATCCACACTCTTTTTAAATATCGAAGATCATCGTTTCATTCATCCTTACGGCATTCATAGTTTACAACTGCATCCAATATGGACACGAAAACGTCATCCATAGCGTCGGCATCCTTTCGATCGCGAACCACACGCATTGTGCAAAATTTTCTTCTAGTCTGGCTCGATGCCAAAATCGACGAAAATAAAGAAGATTTTCAAAATTCTCTTACACAGCTTCGAGATATTGTGAATACAGTACAACTATTCACTGATGCCAATCAATGCTTCAAATATTTGAAAAGTATCAAAGATGAAAAAATCTTTTTAATCGTCTCTGGACGACTCGGCAAAAAGACTGTGCCCCTAATACACAATATGGCTCAACTTGATACCATCTTTGTTTTCTGTAGAAACAAAGATCGACATAAAGAATGGACGAAAAATTGGTCAAAAATTCGACGAGTCTCCACGTCAATCAAGTCGATATGCAAGCGATTGAAAAAGGTTGCCCGCGAGTGTGACCATAATATAATACCGATGAGCTTCGTTTCGAAGCAGATAATGACAGAATCAGTAACAGATCATCAAAATATCGATCAATTGGAACCGTCTTACATGTATTCTGTGTTATTCAAAGAAATTATATTGGAAATCGATGAAGACAATGCAAAAGCCGTAAATAACCTAGTGGACTATGGTCGTCAACAACAAGTCTCTGAATCCCAATTAGTGTATTTTAAGCGTAAATACCACCGAAAATCGCCAATATGGTGGTATACTTATGAATGTTTCCTCTATGGCATGCTCAACAAGGCTTTACGTTTACTCGATATGGAGGCAATGATCAAAATGGGCTTTTTTATTCGAAATCTCCATCGACAACTGGAACAAGTACACAAAGAACAATCAGATACATATAG